AAAAAAAAAAAAAAAAAAAAAAAAAAACAGAAAAAATCCTTTATTGTAAATCAGTAAACTTAAGTATGTGATTCCTAGTCCGGCAAATTCACTGAACTTAAGGAGGGAGATGTGAGAGCCCTGATTTCAAGCCATTCAGACATTCTGGAGGCCCGTGCTTATGAATAGTGGGGAATGGAGGGGTAGTCTTGAGGGACCAGGCCCTCAACCAGTGGTTTCTCAGGCTATCTCTATATAGATAATGTCAGGTCTTAAAAACACCCAGCTGATGTCTACTGCAGAACTGACTGCTTGCTTGGTCACACAAGTCTTCTTTGTTGATTGCTGTGTTGTGAGAGCAGAGGAAAAACACAGTTTGACTTTTTTTTCCTATATAAAACATGTATAGCAGCTAGAGATACCATGGAGAATCCAGTGCCTTCCCTGCCTGCAAACGCTTTTTTTTTTTCCAACCAACACTAAGACAGTTTCTAAGGGCCGCAAATACTTTATCTAATCCATATGGTAGAACTTCTCAGGAACCTAAATATAAAACCAAATTAAGCTAACTAAGAAGCAAGGCCAGACACTAGGGGACTGGGAAAAGGACATTCCCACTTTTGGAATGTATTAAAGGAAGGCTTTATTTCTAAAAATGGAAGTCCACTGTGAGATCTCCCTAAGTGCATGCTCAGTGTCTATCCACATTACCCAGTCTCCCTAGGAAATGCTGCCCTCACGCATCATGAGTCAGCTCATCCGCTCCGTGCTATGACTGCTCAGCAAGATAGACAAGGGCAAGCCATCCCAGACTCTTGCACAGAACTTGTAAAAAAGAAGGGCCTCTCCAGGCACGGTGGCTCACACTGGTAATCCCAGCACTTTGGGAAGCCGAGGCAGGTGGATCATTTGAGGTCAGGAGTTCAAGACCAGCCTGACCAACAACATGGTGAAACCCCATCTCTACTAAAAATACACACACAAACGAAATTAAATTAAAAATTAGCTGGGCATGGGAGTGCATGCCTATAATCTTAGCTACTTGGAAGGCTGAGGCAGGAGAACTGCTTGAACCTGGGAGGCAGAGGTTGCAGTGGGCTGAGATCAAGCTACTGTACTCCAGCTTGGGTGACAAAGCAAGACTCTGTCTCAAAAAAATATAAAAAATTAAAATAAAGGGCCTCCTAGAAATTTATTACAGATTTATCAACTCTGTCACTGAAGACAGGAATGCTGTCTTCTTAAGACAATTATTAAGACAGCATTCCTGTCTTCAGTGAGAGAGTTGATAAATCTCCTATAATGAATTCTTTTCCTTTGGATTTTATGTAAGCCCTGTTACTGGGATCAGATGCAGCAAGACAGAGAAGGCCAGGCAAGGCCTCATGGCCTCACAGGATCTCTCCACGCTGCAAGGGGAAGGGGTGGCAGTGGGTGTAGGAAGAGCAGGGGCCAAGCCCACTTCATCCCCAGGCAGTAACAAGGCCCCTTTCCATAAGACACAAGACAAATCTGTATTTTAAAACCTGTGCATGAAGAACACCTACCTTGGGCCTTGAGAATAGCAGCTTTTCCTCGGCCAGCCCCTGAGCCTTGGTTTTTATTTTTCATGCTCTTTAACATGGGTGCATTCTTCAGCATGTCAGGCAAAATCAGAAAGCGAATTTTGCTGCCACGGATGTATACCTGCTCCAGCTGTGCCACTCGGCCATCTCTGTATGTGACTGTGATGTTGGACATCTGGAAGGAAATCACCAGATAACCAGTTAACGGTCAACAGCACCAGTGCTGGGGAGGGCCATGGCTGTTGGGAGGGTTAAGTCCTGAAAAGCAGACTGACGTTGTGACAAGCTGGTGAATTACTCGGCAATGGTCAGTACTAACTGTGTACGCCAGGGACTGCACTGAGCACTTTACCTAAACAGTCCTCACAACACCTCCAGTGTGGGTATGAGTACCCATTTTTATGGGTTAAAAAAACCAATGCAGTTATCCAAGGTCAAACAGCTGGAATGCAGGGAACTCCAGATTTGAACCAGCTGGTCTAGCTTCAGAGCCTTAGCTCTGCTGTACTGCGTGCTGAGGAAACACGTGAAGAGCTCTTCAAGGTGCTAGACCCTAACTAAAACAGCTTCAAACTGCTAGTCCAACTGTGTCTTCCCCTGCATTGCCTGGCAGTCAGATTTCAAAGGTACCACGAAGGTCATGAGTATATACCAGATGCGGTTCTGACCCTCCAGAGTGCATACTCTAGAAGGTGAGACAGAACCCTCTAGCTTGAGTGACTAGGGATTGAGATACGGAGGACACCCAGCGTGTACAGGTACCACAGGACCTATACAGAGGGCCTGAAATTACAAGCAGGCACTTGGGCAGAAGTCTACAGGACGCGAGGACCAGAGCAGTCGAATAATGACCCTGGACAGGGCTGTTATTTCAGATAAAGGGTCACTCAAGTTTGTTGACAGTGGAAAGATCAACAGGGTTAAGGCAGCACTTAGGAAAGATAAATGTGTCAACATGGATAGACTGTAGGCTGGACAAATGGAGAGCCTGGAGTTGAGACCAGCTTAGCATGGGAGGGTGACACCAATCTGCCAGCATCAACCTCAACAAGCACCACATTTACAGAAAAAGCAGCTTTTACTGTATGAACCTTCTGAAGTGAGAGGACTCTAATTTATTCAGAATGGGTCAGCCTATATTGTTGAGAGAAGTGCTTGTCTCCCCAGATTTGTCTGGCTAGTTGCCATCTTATACTCATTCATTCTTTTCCTCAAGTGCTAGCTAACTGGCTACCCAGCCTCTGTTTGAACACTCAGTGAGAAAAGAGCAACTATGGGCTGGGTGTGGTGGCTAATGTCTATAATATCAACACTTTGAGAGGTCATGGTGGGAGGATCACTTGAGCTCAGGAGTTTGAGACCAGCCTGGGCCACACAGTGAGACCTTGTCTCTACAAAAATAAGCTGGGTGTGGTGGCAGGTGCCTGTAGTCCAGCTACTTGGGAGGTTGAGGTGGGTGGATCACTTGGGTCTGGGTGGTCGAGGCTGCAGGGAGCTGTGATAACGCCACTGCATTCCAGCCTGGGCCACAGAGCAGGATCCTCTCAAAAAGCAAACAAAACGATGCTCTGAGGCCACCCTGCTGTATATGAGCAGTTTCTAGAGGAATGTTTTCTAGAGCTTCCACTCACTATCACTGTTTTACCTTCAGGGCAACAGGGCTCCAGTTTTCCATAAATCTTCTGCTCCAGGCTCCTCAATCCCAGCTGCTTACCAAATTTTCATCCAGTTCCCAAGTCCTTGCCAATCCTTTACTTCCCCTGAAGAATACCATAACCTCTAGTGCCACAAATGAATGCCAGGTATGGTTAAACTACCCAAGAGAGAAACTAGATACAACTCAGGCTCACCCAAATCTGTCTGACAGTTAGTTAAAATGTGTTTTGGGGCTGGGCGTGGTGGCTCACGCCCATGATCTCAGCACTTTGGGAGGCCAAGGCAGGGGGGTCACCCGAGGTTGAGACCAGCCTGGCCAACATGGTGAAACTCCATCTCTACAAAAAATACAAAAATCAGCCAGGAATGGTGGCAGGCGCCTGTAGTCCCAGCTACTGGGGAGGCTGAGGCAGGAGAATCGCTTGAACTGGGGAGGCGGAGGTTGCAGTGAACAAAGATTGCACCACTGCACTCCAGCCTGGGCGACAGAGCAAGACTCCAACTCAAAAAAAAAAAAAAAAAAAAAAAAAAAACCAAAAAAAAAAAAAAAAAAAAAAAAAAGAAGGAGAAAAAAAAAAAAAAAAAAAAAAAAAAAAAGGGGGGGGGGTGTTTGGCGGCCTCTGCCACACTCATGACTCAGTAGAAGACATAAAATAGGCCTGAAGACCTACAGGTGAGACCCAGCTCTGCCATTTGTCAGATATGTTAACTCCAGGTATACTTCCAGGCTTCTCCCAGCCTCAGTTCCCTCACCTACAAAGCTGGGGAAAATACAAGAGAACAAAGCCAACATTTACTGAACACTTATTAGAGATCAAGTGCTGGCCCAGGTGATTTCCCCACAGCAGTTCATGTTACCCCACAAAACCCTACAAGGTGGAGAGATGAAGTGGCATAGCCATTCAGAGGCAGATCGGTGCCCAGAAATCCAAGCCCTTTCCCTCTATTCTCCTGCTTGAGATCACACCACTCTTACATGGCCTGGCTGGAGTTTGAACCCAGTTCTGTCTAACTCTAAACTCACATTCTTAATTACTTCATCTGATCACACTTCCTGAAACTGTTAAAAAGCAAATTAGGCCAGAAGCAGTGCTTCATGCCTGTAATCCTAGCACTTTGGGAGGCCAAGGTGGGAGGACTGCTTGATGTCAGGAATTTGAGACCAGCCTGGGAAGTGCAGCAAGATTCCATGCCTACAAAAAGTCAAAAAAATTAGCTTAGTGTGGTGGTGCATGCCTGTGGTCACAGCAACTTGGGAGGCTGAGGTGGGAGGATGGCTGGAGCCTAGGAATTCAAGGCTGCAGTGAGCTATGATTATGACACTGTACTCCAGCCTGGGCAACAGAGTAAGACTCTGTCATTAAAAAGAAAAGAAACAAAACACAACAGCCAAGTAAACAAGGAAAAATATGTCTAAATGCTGTCTCTATTGCCTAACACATAATAGAGACTCAGTAAATGCTAAAGCTGATTGACACTTAAAATGTGTTTTAGGAGCTGTGCCATTGCTAAGCCACACTCCCTCCAGCACCATAGGGGCACATCTCACTCCTTCCCTGTCAGAAGCTGTTACAACAAGACTTAATCTAGGCATTTCCATAAATGAACTATGTCCTGGCTGAAGCAGGAGACTCCAGTACCATTTGACTCCTATTTCAACCCTAAGAATCAGGCTCACTATTGCTCTCGCTTTCCCTGCAGCGCTGGCTGATGAGAACAGCTGGCTGTAGACAAAACCCCAGTCTCACTGCACACATGCCTGCTAGAGCTTGCTAATAAGCCTGAGCTGTGTTTGGATCATACGCCAAAGGCAGCAACTGTTGAGTAAACCAGATTTTAATCAAAGCCAGGCAGGAACACCCAGTTTAATCAACTTTCCTCAACAGCCACAATGAAACACAGATGGTATAAGCCAGGTGCCCAACTGAAATGACATCCTGGGGGAGAGGGAGAGAATCTTTGTAGTATAGTCAAAGCGGTGGGAGTTTCTCAGATACCTGGGCCAAGACGGAAAAAGTTAGCTCCAGGACTGTGAAGGTGCACTGGGATGTCTCAGGTCTGTCAATACACCAGAAATGCACAAACTCTTTAGGACAATTTCACACATACACAAAGGCAGAGACGCTTGGTTGCCACTGCTATTATATGAATACCAACTGATGCATGATGAATGCATTCCATGCATTCATCCACTCACAAACAGTTCAGGAAAAAAAAGCATACAATAGTTAAATTCAATCACATTGAATTCAGAGGTTTCAAAAACTTTCCTAGCAATAGTTATGGGCAATATTCTGGCCCAATCATGTGAGAGTTTCTTTTTGTTTTGTTTTGTTTTTTGAGACAGAGTCTCACTCTGTAGCCCAGGCTGGAGTGCAGTGGCACGATCTCGGCTTACTGTAACCTCCACCTCCTGGGTCCTGGTTCAAGCAATTCTCTTGCCTCAGCCTCCTGAGTAGCTGGGATTATAGGCAAGGGCCACCATGCCCAGCTAATTTCTATATTTTTAGTAGAGATGGGGTTTCACCATATTGGCCAGGCTCGTCTTAAACTCCTGACCTTGTGATCTACCTGCTTCGGCCTCCCAAAGTGCTGGGATTACAGGTGTGAGCCACTACACCCAACCAAGAGTTTCTTTTGGGTTCTAATTTTTATACAGTGACACAATACCATCTTCCACAAGAGACCATCTTTTTTTCCAAAGATGGCTATTCTGCCACAGCCAAGAAAACAGATTTCAAACAGTCCCATCAGCGATTGGGTGGTCATGTCAAAGCCCCAAAAGCACAATGTCTGCTTGTGCAGAACTCTACACCAATTTCTCCCACTAAAACTTCTAACAGGTCACTTAGAATATAGTGAAATGGGTATGACCATTATTTGCTTGTATCATTTATAATTTGGTTCAATTTTCACAAAATTGGGGACATACCTTGGAGCTTTGTTATTTTTCTCACACTTATGCCAGCAGCATTTTGACAGACATCGGACATTCACCTACGTAATTTTACTAGATTAATAATATTCTTTGTAATGTACCCCAATTTTTTAACCATAATTTATTCAACTCTAGTATTAGAAACGTTGGTTTTCATTATTAATAACAGCACTGCAGAGGCAGGTAAGGTGGTGTGCACCTGTAGTCCTAACTGGAAGGCTGAGCAGTGAGGATTGCTTGAGCCTAGGAGTTTGAGGCTGCAGTGAGCTATGATCATGCCACTGAACACTAGCCTGGGTGACAGAGGCAGTCTCTTAAACAAANAAAAAAAAAAAAAAAAAAAAAAAAAAAAAAAAAAAAAAAAAAAAAAAAAAAAAAAAAAAAAAAGCAGCACTGCAACGAATACCTTTGTACATAAACATTTGTCCATAATTTTGAACTGGTTCCTAAAAGTAGAATTATTGTTTTTTTTAAGACAGGGTCTTGCTCTGTCGCTGAGGTCCAGGGTAAATGCAGTGGCACGATCACAGCTCACTGCAGCCTTCACCTCCTGGTCTCAAGTGATCCTCCCACCTCAGTCT